TACGATATTTTATAGATAAAGCTCTCCTTTAAAAGAGCTATTAAATTAACCTCTTTTAAGTAGTTCGATAGGTAGTATATACTTAGAATAAGCTACTTATAACGACTATTAGAGCCTACTTCTATTACTTAATATACTTAGAGTAGTATAAAGCCTACTACCTAGGCCTACTAGGTTTAATAAAGTAGCTAAGCTTATAAAGCGACTAGAGTAGGCTAAGGTTATTAAGTAGGCTATAGATATTAGCCTCTTTATTAACCTACCTAACGAGTAAGTACTTAATAAAAGAGTTAATAATATAGTTAAGTTTATTACTTAGTAGTATTAGACTAAAGAGCCTAAAGATTAATAAAAGTAAAAGTAAGAAGTACCTAAGGTTACTATTTAAGATACTCTTACTACTTTTAAAAGGCTATTTCTATATAAATAATAATAAGAGGAAAGTAGTATAGATCTTATTACTACTCTTAGCCGGTATAAGCTAGTCTTACGAGGTCGTCGACTCTATAGTACGAGACAGACTATATTATCTTTATATTTTAATACTATCTAATATATATTACGTACTACTGTCTATAGCGATACCCTCTATATAACGATAACCTACTCTTACATTGACCTTATCGTTATAGCCAGGGATTGCTGTACTGCGAGTATAATTCTATCAAGTGGCTGGAGGATCTATGGCAAATGCATGATCTCAGCATTGCGATGGAGATCCTGGTCCGAGAGGTCTGCGGTGGAAGCTGCCTTATTTGACGACAACACGCCAGCGAATTTCGAATACCTGCAACTGCCGAAGAACAGTCTTTCCGGTGCGTAAAGAGTCGATATTGTTGGTTAAGAAGTTGAACAGGAGGTGAGGTGTGGTCGTTTTGTTAACCAAATCCGGCTTGATGTCATTGGCTCTTGGCAAGAAAACAACATTCGACGGACACTTCACTCCCCCTTTCACTTTTTCTCAATCCAATGCAAGAATGAAACCAACAATGGGCGTCTGGTAATCCTCGAGTCCTCTCCATGCACGTAGCATGCCTCCCTCGCACTATGCGCCGCCCTCGATGACGCAGAACGGCGCCCCAGCAGCCCAACTTCGTCCTCCACGCGACTCCCTCGAACTGGCCAGCCTCGCCAGCTCCAACGACAACGATGCCCGCGACTCCCTAGACTCGTCCGTCTCCGGCGTGCCCTCGTCGAGGAAACTCTCCTTCAGCGACCCGGCTCCGAGCCGCCCGACGCGTGGTGGAAGGTCTTACTCGGTCTCCAGTGCATTCGACTTCAACAGCTCCCTCTTCCCTCTCTCCTCCTCTGGCCCCGGATATACCTCCTTGGGCACGCCAGGCACTCCCAACTTCGATTCAGGTGCTCAGAGCTTGGAACGGAACAAGAGCTTGACATATCTGAATGGGCTGTCGCTGGTCGTGGGTTTGATCATTGGCAGCGGCATCTTCTCTTCCCCCGCCAGCGTCAACAGCAATGCAGGCTCTCCAGGTGCGGCGTTGATCGTATGGATTGTGTCAGGAATGCTGGCATGGACAGGTGCTGCAAGCTACGCAGAACTGGGTGGTGCTATACCCCTTAATGGCGGCGCACAAGTCTACCTCTCAAAGATCTTCGGACAATGGGCTGGCTTCCTTTTCACCTGGTGCACCGTTGTGGTACTGAAGCCAGGTTCTGCCGCCATCATAGCCATCATATTTGGAGAATACCTGGTCCGGGCTGTTATTGGAGCTGATGCGGTGGACGCCAGCCCGTGGATCAACAAAGGCGTGGCCCTGCTTGGATTGATTGCCGTCACAGCCCTCAACTGTGTCTCGACGAAGCTCGGCACACGCAGCGCCGACGTGTTCATGTTCTTCAAATTCGCAGCCCTACTAGCCATCACCATCGCCGGAATCATCGTGGCCATCACTGGGGCGGCATACAACAAGGAAGCTCTGTCTACAGCTTGGAAAACCACCAACTGGTTCGAAGGCACGTCCATGTCATCTTCCCAGTGGGCTGTGGCTTTGTATGCTGGTCTATGGGCGTACGATGGATGGGACAACACGAACTTCGTTGTCGGAGAGATGAAAAACCCCAGCCGCGACCTGCCCAAAGTCATTCACACGGCACTACCCGTCGTGATCGTCGCCTATATCCTGGCGAACCTGTCCTACTTCTTCGTCTTGCCGCCAGAGACCATCAACACCTCAAACACCGTCGCAGTCGCGTTTGGCAGCATCGTTCTCGGACCCATCGGCTCGCTTCTTCTAGCTCTCGCTGTGTCAGGATCTTGCTTTGGTGGTCTGAACGCTACCACTTTCACGGCCGGTCGCCTTGTCTACAGCGCGGGCAAAGAAGGGTACCTGCCAGAGATCTTTGGTACGGTCGGCTTTTCAGACTCATCACAACGCATGCGACTACCTCGGCGAGGCCAGAAAGCTAGACGATTTGCAGGCTTCATCGCCGACGAGCAAGGCTTCTTCTACACGCCAATCTACGCCATGGCATTGAACGCTGCACTCACAACCATATACATCATCATTGGAGACTTTACGACTTTGACGACGTTTTACGGCGTCGCCTCGTACTTGTTTTACTTCGCGCCAGTGGTGGGGCTGATCGTATTGAGAGTGAAAGAGCCCGAGCTGGAGCGACCGTACAAGTGTTGGCTTATCACGCCAATCATCTTCTGCTGCGTCAGTCTTTTCTTACTGAGCAGGGCAATATTCGCGAAGCCATTCCAAGCGTTGATCGTGTTCGCCTTCATCGCCGTGGGCTTCCCGTTGTTTTGGTGGCGAGTTGGGAGCCGAGGACGAAGCGGAAGAAAGAGCGAGCAGGGCGAAGGGTGGTGGAAGTTTTGGAAGAGATGGGGCAGGCGGTAGAAGTCATGTACACAGAACGTGAAATGCATTGTTTATCGCTCATCTCATCCCTTCTGACTTCTGTCCGCGGGGAGAGCCCGACAACTTGCGGATATCGGCATGACCAGATCCAACCACAGAATCGTGCGGTACTGGAGACCCTTTACGCCTGAAAACAACGCACCAAGGTCGTGGCTGTGTAAATCCAGCCGCACAGCCCGAGGAGATGGCAAGGCCAAGAAAGAGGCCGCCTTGACGCTTCAGCTGACGGGATGATGCCTATGCCTCACTTTCAAGCAACAACTCATTCGTGAGGGATAATTAACTGGGTCCATCATGGGTCACGATGACAAACTTCCAGCTTATGCGGACACCGTGGGTCGAAAGGAGCCTTCCGCCCAGTCTCCAGACGAGGACGAGACTCACACCGTCTGGCTCACCTTCACTGGCGATTGTACCAATTCCAGCCCAACGACGATTCTTCTCCCATCCAGCAGCACGTTCTTCGACTTTCAAGCCAAAATCAAACAACGCTATCTCGAAACGCGCTCCATCGCGGCCGACAGAATCGCATTCATCTGGTCCACCTTCCTTGTCGAGACGGGCTCTTCAGTCTCCGACACCGACAGCAGACGTGACGCTGCGAATGGAATTTATCTTGACGAACACAATTGGGACGCCTTGAAGCCGACCATCCTCACCATCCCACGTCCAGAGTCGTCCTCCGAACGGTTGCAGAAGAAGAAACTTCACAAGCTTGGCGATGTGTCTTCCTTCTCTGAATGCACCACCTCGAGGCTGATTGTGACGTTCTGTGACATCGACTGGACGGAGACTCGGCGAGCGGCGAAGAATCCAGAGATGCTGGAGCGACAGCAGAAGGCGCATGAGCGTAATGAGAGGGCGTATTTGTTGCAGGGGAGACATTTGCCGCCGCCGAGGATGTCGACTTGTGTTCTGATGTGATCTATACCGGCCATCGCAAGGCACATCGAGCAATAGCTTGTAGACAAGCCTTTTAGTAAAAGGATTATGATTCGTTCGATTCCATGGCAATTAACGTCTATGCTCGTTGTCGATGGCATTACCTTATTCCAACTATCTAGTGCGAGCAATCTCAATCGAACGTGCTGCCAGCAACATAGCTCGGGAGAAGTTGGTGGTAACAGTAAGAAGGCTGCATCTCTACCAACCATGCACTGATACCAGACTGGCATCGTGACGGCGCAGGGTACACTAACAAGGTCTCGATCGATAGTCGTCAATGATCAAGCTGAAAGTAGACAAACGCAGACGAAGCTTGACTATGCGCCGTCGACGGATAAGTCTTGGTTGGAGATATCTCTATGTAATATATGAACAACGATCAACTCGCCATTACACCACGGCACATGGCATCATGGCCAAGGAACAAGGATGAAGGACATCCTTCTGCAAGGCTTAAAATGCTGCGATTCATGGCACCAGACTTCGACGGTCTCAGCGCCAGCGCGTACTTCCGCTAGACAGCGGATAGCTGGAGCAAATAGCGAGTGAAACCAGGACCAAGAATAGGTAAGAAGGAGAAAAGGGTAGTGGTGAGGACCCGGGCTACCGGCGCGCCCGGCGCATGGTTGACTATAGTAGGTCAGCGAAGAGGAGGGAGCAGGGGTGGCGTGCTGTATGGTTTGGTGTTGGCGTGAGATGGAGGAGAAGTACGGTAACCGAAACCCGGAATGGATGGCCGGGCGGCTGGGGTGTGTTCCTGCTTCCTTTGCCCTTAGGTCTTTTTCGGTAGTAAGCGTATCTCAAGTACAGCAATCCCTGGCTATAACGATCCTCTTCATAACGATACCCTCTATATAACGATAGCGCACCCTTGTATTAACTCTTTCCTCACTTTAAGTTATCCTATACTACCTATAATAATATCGTTATTAGCTACTATATATATCGCTATCGAGAGGTTATTTTAGCTAACTTACGAAGCCCCTTTATAGACTATTTACTATAGCCGAACCGCTTTTAAAACGTCGTCGCCTTATAATATTAGACTCTTAGAGAAGCGCTCTCCGCTAATACTATTAAGAGTATTAGGAATTAAAGTATTTAGAGCTAGCTAAGTAGTTTAAAAAGTAGTAAAATAGGCCTATCGGGTAGGCTTTAATATTAATAATCCTCTTAAGTAAATATAGCTACGTAGATAACCTTAGAATACGACGTTCTAAGTAAAATATAAAGAGGTATACCCTAGTAGAGTATCTAGTACTTAAAGAAGCGCTATTTTAAGTCTAGTAGTAGTAGTAGAGAAGTAATACCTCTATTTATAGCTAGATACTAAAGGAGGCTACCTACTATCTATAGTTATAGATACCGTAGCTTACTTATTAATAAGAGCCTATATAGTTAAATAGATAGCTAGAAGGCTTCTAAAAGCGTTACTAGCTACGCTCTCGTTATAGGTACGGTAAAGCTACTTCTATACTTAAAGGAGCTAATAAAGTAATAGAGTAAATACGCTTTATTATTACTCGTTATCCTCTTATACGAGATATATATAATATAGACGAATCTAGGCTATTCTAGAAGGTAA